CATGCTGGGAGGCTGAGGCAGGAGGGTGAGGCACAAGGATGGTGAGTTCAAGCCCAACCTGGGTGATGTAACAAGACCCAATCTCAGTATAGGGCTGCGGATGGGTTCAGGGCAAGGGCCCTGAGTTCAGTCGCCAGCAACAGGGGAAAAAACAAAAACCAAAACCTTCTAACAGGTTGAATATCACTTAAAATAAATGAGATTGGGCCGGGGATTTAGCTCAGTGGTTCCGCCGCCTGCCTCAAAAGCGCAAGGTCCCGAGTTCGATCTCCGGTACCAACAAAATAAATAAATTAAATAAATAAATGAGATTAGGGGCCGGAGATTTAGCTCAGTGGTTCCACCGCCTGCCCTGCAAGCTCAAGAACCCGAGTTCGATCCCCAGTACCAAAAAATAAAAGAGAGAGCTGTAGTAACAGATTTTGCAAGATGCGGAGAGTGGGCGTGAGGAGGGATTCACAGTCAAGCAGGTCTGTGTGAGTCCCAGCCCCGAGGGCCTCAGCTCCGCTCACCCTCCCCCGTCCCGGGCACTCATGGCTTGAATCACAACTGCCTGCCGTGGCCCGCCTGCTGTGTTAATAAGGCCGCCAGGACTGCTGTCGAGGGGCACTATGCAAAGCTCAGGGTCCGCGCCTCCCGGCTGCTCGGACTTTGCCCTCACTGCCACTTCAGAGCCAGACCTGGGAGCCCCCACTGAACCCACAGAATGTGGGCCCAGGGAGGTCCAGGAGCTGGGATCAGAGCTGCCTCGGGGTCCCTGAGCCTCAGGCGCATCCCAAGGCTACAAGTTACCTGGGGACAGAAGCTCCTCACCATGCACCTGGACGTCAAGGGTCAGGTAACTGCGCAGGGACTACAAACAACTCATTCCAGGGCTGGGGATTTAGCTCAGTGGTGCCGTCGCCTACCTAGCAAGCACAAGGTACCGAGTTCGATCCCCGGTACCAAAAAAAACCCTCATTCTAATGAAGTCGTGAACAGGGCAAGCATTCGGGTGGCAGTCTCTTTTCCCTTCCCGGCCCATTGTCCCCCTAGATTAAGAGCTTCCACTTACAGCTCTGAAGGCTCCTGGCTGCTCCCTCAACCTCTACTCGGCTGTCAGGAGTACTCCTATTCATCCTCCAAAGCCCTGTCTGGGTGCTCCTACTTGAATAAGTCTCTCTGTAATAAAGCCCTGGTTTTGCCCTGAAGAGAACAGATCTCTTTTCTTGGACATTTAATAAGAACTTAGGCTTGCAGAACTCTTACTAGGTACCAGCAGAGGGCTGAGCACTGTATGTGCACTGTCCTAATGCATCCTAACATCACCTGTGGACTGCTGTTGTTATCATCCTCTCCTGTAACAGAGAAGGAAACCGAGGCTCAGAGTCCGAGCAGGCAGCAGCAGGCCAGAGCCACTCGGTTCCAGAGCCTGGAACCACCACCGGGTTCCCCTGCCCCAGCCCACCCAGTGCCGTGGAAATGGACATTCCTTCCCTTTGGACCCAAACACAAAAGTGTGTTTGCCGCTGTGAGCTGAGAGCTGGGCATGGTGGCGCACGCCTGTCATCCCAGACCTTGGGAGGCTAAAGCAGGAGGACCGGTCCAAGTTTAAGGCCAGCCTGGCTACATACGAGTTTGAGGCCAGCCTGAACCACAAAGCGCAGACCCTGCCTCAAAAAAACCAGAAAGAGTTGCTGGAATTGGAGCTTGGTGGCAGAGCGCCCGCCCAGCATGTGCCAGGTCCTGGGTTCAACCCCCAGCACCGCAAAACAAAAAAGGAATGGGGCAAGGTCCCAAGTTCAATCCCTGGTACCAAAAAAAAAAACACAAAAAAACGAGTTGGGTGGTGATTTGTAGCCAGTCAAAAATCCTCAAACATTTCGGCACATAAGGGCCCTGTGCCTTCTTCGCCCACAGCACCCCTGAGTCTGAGTGCCTCTCTGCCCACCGGACCCATTTGCAAGTTTGGACCCAAGAGGCCAAGGTCACAGGAGCGGGGTCACGGTGGCCACACACTGGGGACACCAGGCGGCCCAGTCTGCCGGAACCTTCCAGTCAGCCCTGCCACTGTCCCTCCTTGTCAGCAAGACGGGGCGGGCGGCAACTTCCTTCCCCTCCTAAACTACCAAGGCTGGGGGTTATATCCCCCCTCCCCACCCCACACTCTTTTATTTTTTAAATTTGTTATTTAATTTGAGACAGCCCAGGCTGGCCTCAAACTTAATAGCAATCCTCCTGCCTCGGCCTCCCAAGTGGTGGAATGACAGTGTGCACCACCACGCCCCGCTACCTCACTTTCTTTATACCCATCACAGTCTACCCGTTACTGGGGAGCCACTCTAGTCTCTCCTTTGGCAAGAACACTTCCCAGAAACCTCCAAGCCTCATAAATGCTTCTTCCTCTCAAGACTCTCAGCATCAGGCAGCACGGTGCGACAGAACTCGCCACAAGCACGTCTCTGCCCGGGGTCGCTGCCTAGCAGCAGTTACCTTGGTGCTCGACACAGGCTGGCTCTCAGGTGGCATCAGCCTGTCTCCTTGATGGTTAAAGTGTTTTTGCCAGGTGTGGTGGCGCACACCTGTCATCCTAGACCTTGGGAGGCTGAGGCAGGAAGATCACTGAGAATTTGAGGCCAGCCTAGGCTACATAGGGAGGCTCTGTCTCAGAAAAAACAACAACAAAAAGCGTTTATTAGGTCATCCCAGTAGAATGGAAGTTCTGTGACAAGACAAACTGTTCAGAGCAACTTTCCCCAAACTGGAAAAAGTAATCATCACCCTGAGCTGCACGACAGCGCTCAGAAACCACAAGGGCACAGGCGCTGGGCTCCCCAGCTCCGGGACAGCGCCACCCCTACCCCATTTCCCACCGAAGGTCAGGACCTGTGAGGCGGAAGGAGAAAGCAACTCTCTGGGGCCAAAGTGAAGGGGGGCCCAGAACCCACAGGACACTTGGTTTAAACGACGTCTGGATCACAGCTGCCTGGTACCCAAAGCCTGGGCCTCTCCCATCCAACAGCTAAATCCTGATGAGAATTCTGCTGACCAAAAAGACCAGGTCCTTCCTGAGCTGGAGCAGAAAAATAACCCAAGCCGGCCTCTGGGTCCTTCTCTTTGCACCTATCTATTCCTTGGGCCATCAGCCTCCTGGCCCGACTTCACCATCCAGGTAGGCCCGACGTCACTGATGCCCCAGCGGGGACCACACCCCTCTGATCAAAACTCCACACCTGAGCACGGGTACAGTAGCCGAAAGGGCACAAAATACACAGGAGGCACAAGCTTCACTGTGCAGCATTCTGCTGGCCTTGATTTCCTTGTCTACAAAAAAGAGAGTGTCATGGGACCACCTGCCTCCCAAACCCTGCCTGCTCCCAGTCGTAACTTCGGGCTATTTCTAAATGCCTGTTCTCCCAACCGAACTGAAAAGAAAATTTCCAGGAATCGGAGCTGGGTGTGGTGGTGTGTGCCTGTAATCCCACCCCCTGGGAGGCTAATGCAAGGCAATGGCCACACATTTGATGTTTGTAGCCTGAGCTACACAGTAAGTTCTAGGCCAGCCTGAACTGCATAGGGAGACCCTGTCTCAAAAACACAAATTCAAAATATAGCCATTTTTTTTGGTACCGGGGATCGAACTCAGGACCTTGCGCTTGCAGGGTAGGTGGCGGAACCACTGAGCTAAGTCCCTGGCCCTATATGTATTTTTTAAAAAGGCATAGGGCCAGGGATTTAGCTCAGTGGTTCCGTCACCTGCCCTGCAAGGGCAAAGTCCCAAGTTCGATCCCTGGTACCAAAAAAAAAAAAAAGGGCTGGGGGTGTAGCTCAGGGACAAAGTGCCTGCCTAGCATGTGTGAGGTCCTGTAGCACCAGTACTGAAAAAATAAAACCACAAATGTGCTAAGGTTCTTTCCAGCAAGTGTGTTAACAAAGAGGCTAGGATCAATGCTCCACGACTTTTTTTTAACTCCAGATTTCCCCTGCCACCACCCTGCAAATATCTGAGCAGTAATTCTGCCAGGCTCCCATCTGGCACATGTAGTAAAGAAACAAACGTGTGGATTCCAGGAACATACACAAATCTAACAGAAAATAAAACAGAAAATCTGGCTGAATCGAGTCATAACGCAGCCTAACTGCACATACACACGATGGAAACGTGCTTTTGGTTTATTCAAACGAAAGCTTCTGCAAACAGCCGGCCAAAACCTTCCAGCCCATGGGCAGGACAAACCCTTCCTTACAGCCAGCCGCCAGCAGGTGCACCTGACACACGTTTCCCAGGGAAACAGCACCAAACCCCTGACTGGGTCCCACACAGCACCGGGGGAACAGAGGCTCAGCTCCCATTCGGCACCGACACAGGTAGAGTTGGCCCCGGAGCTGGGCCAAGGCCTGCCCCATCTTTGCCTCCCTCCGTTCTGCGTTTGCCCAAGATCTTGGCTTCGAGACAGAAAACTCCCAGGCTTGATTGGTCCGTACCGCCCCGTGCAATTAAGCAAGCCCGGAATCCAGTAAAGGCAATGGCTCGATTATCTTCCAGCCCACTTCCCCAGGTGTTTATGTGAGGGCAATGCCAAAGAGGAAAGAAAAAGGTTGACTGCTCCCCAGAGCTGGCTTGCCCGGGGATTACATTTCTGTTTTATTTATTTTTCACAAGGTGGATTTCAGCCCTGCTTAACCTAGAAACAGACGGGAGACGATTTAGAAAGAGGACAGGTCTTTCACTTTCCCAACAGGAAACTCCATTCTTAGGCAATCGCCCTAGCCACAGGCCTGGGGGCGACAGCTATTCCCACCCAAGGGGCAGGGGCCTCCCGGCCAGGAAGTGGCTCAGCTGGCGGCCGAGGCAGGAGGGCCTCTGCCCTACCCCACCCCCAGCGCCCACAGTGACGGCGGGTGACAGTCGCCCCGGCTGGGCCCCCCCGCGATCCAGTCCGCGCCGCCGCCGTGCGTGTCGCCCACGTGCCCCCCCGCGGCGACCCCGGCCCGGCTGGCGCGGCCCCACCCCGCCTCACCTGCTTCCCGGCCGAGGCCCAACGGGCCGGCCTGTGCGGGGCCGGGACGGGCTGGGGCTCCTCGGGCTGGGCCTGTCGGGGCCGAGCGGGGACGAGGCGCCCAGCGGGTTGTCGTCGGGATCCGGCCGGGACGCTCTCCCTCGGCGGCGGCGACGACGGCGGAACCCCAGGCTCCCCCTCCCGGGCCACACCGCAGCTCCGGAAACCGCTGAATTACAGCCCCTGCAGCCAATCCCCGCCTTCTCCCGGCCCGGCTCAGACACGCCTCATGCATAATTCATGAGACGGGCAGCCCGCTTGGCCATTCAGAGGCCCCGGTGTGGGCGCTGGACGGATGAAGCCCCACCTACTGACCAATAAGAGAAGTTGCCAGCGGAGGGGGCGGAGTCTAGAGAACACCGGGGACGCCCCTGTGCTGGCTGTTCCGAGGGCGCGGTGCTCCTCCCTCTGCGGCGGCCGGGGAAGAGCCGTGGCCGGGCACAGGCGCGCGGCGGGAGGGTGCGCAGTGGCGGGAACGGCCTGCTGAAAACTCAGCTGAGTTCCTGGCAGCGCGTGACGTCAGGGCGCTTTAAATGCCCGGCTCCGCCGCTGCCCCGCCGCCTTCCCGGCCTGGGCACCACGTGGGCAGCCAGGCGCTGCGACCGCCCGGGTATCGCCCTCCTTGGGTCCTGCTCCTGGGCTGGGTGTCTGGGGCCACAGAAGGACCCGGGCGACGCCCGACCATCGTGAACTTCGGTCCCGCGTGTGCCAGGACACATGCGCCCGGAAGTGTGACGCGGGCGGAGACTAATTACTAGATTGCGTGGGGAGCCAGAGCATCAGCGCCATCGGCCGGCTTGTGGCCGACCCGGGTGCAGGGCCAGAGCCCCGAGGCCTGGCGTGTGCTGCGTGCTGCGTCCCAGGGGCATGTGCTTGGGTCGTCTGCCACCCCACTGTCCTTCCACTTTGAGTTCACACACACACGCCCTCCTGCCACTGGTGACTGAATCTGAGGCCGTGGCACTGAGCAACATCCCTGGCCCTTCTCCTTGCTAAAGTGCCCTGCCTGGGCTCAGACTCACCATCCTCCTGCCTCAGCCTCCCAGAGTTCTGGGGTTAGGGGCGTCACCAGCCCTGCAAGAGGAGAAGGGCTCATGATCACCCCATACAGATAATCCCTGATGACAGTTTTTTCAATGAAACGAATGTATCTTCGTGGTTTAGGGAAGAAAAAAAAAAGCTCAAGACAAGGCCGGGGATTTAGCTCAGTGGCACCGAACCTTCCGGGAAGGCACCAGATCCTGAGTTCAATTCCCGAAACTGGGGGCGGGGGGGGGGGGGGACAGTTCAGAAAGATTGAAAGTTGAAAATGAAATCTTCCTCCCTCAGTCCTTCCTAGAGATCGCTGTTCTTTTTTTTTTTTTTTTTTTGGTACTGGGGATTGAACTCAGGTCCTTGCGCTTGCGCAGCAGGCGGGGAAACCACTAAACTAAATCCCCGACCCGAGATCGCTGTTCTTATTAATTTCTGGTGAGAAAAATCAATGACTGTGCCGGGCATGGTGGCGCATGCCTGTAGTCTCAGCACTCTGGAGGCTGAGGCAGGAGGATCACCCTTAGTTCTAGGCCAGCCTGAACTACATAGTGAGTTCAATGTCAGCCTGAAGTACATAGTGAGACCCTGTCTCAAAAAACAAAAAGAAAGAGGGCTGGGGATTTAGCTCAGTGGTTCCACTGCCTGCCTTGCAAGCACAAGGACCTGAGTTCGATCCCCAGTACCAAAAAAAGAAAGAAAAGTCAGTGACTCTAAGCCTTTGCTGAGTCACAGATGGAGGCTACAATTCTGGGCCCAGAAACAAGCAGCAGAATCTCCTCAAAAGCTCACAGGTTCAGAGGATGCCTGAGGCCCCACCCCTAGGTCCAAACCTCCCACGTCACTCACTCATCTAACTGTGTGTGGTGTTGGGACTCGAACTCAGGGCCTCCTGCACCCTAAACAGATGCTCCACCACTGCACTGGCCCTGACCTGACCTCACCACCCTCAGCTCCCGTGGGCGAGTGCCTCTTGAGGACACCTGGTGGGGCCGAGGTGGGTGCTCCAGTGTCTCCCACTGCCCTGGCAACCCAGGGCGGTGCCGGGATTGCTGCATTATCTGTGCAGTGTGTGTGTTGACTTTCATGGTTCTTTTTCCCCCAATACTGGGGATTAAAGCCAGAGCCATCACACTGAGCTACACTCTTAGCCCTTTTTGAGACAAGGCCTCACTAAGTTGTGAATTTGTGATCCTCCTGCTCAGCCTCCCAGAGTGCTGGGATTGCAGGCTTGTGCCCCATGCCCACCTTGCTGTTTATCTTTATCTTCACTGTGGACAGATCTTGCCCCCTGGCCTGAGCTCCCTTTGGCTGTAGGCTCTCATGCAGGATGGGCTCCTGATACCAGGGTCTGATATCTGCTCAGGGATCTCTACTGGCAAAGTACCTTCCACCTCTCCTTTTCACGCCAACTCTATGCAGCGGATAGGAGTGGCCTTGCCATCCATGGGCAGGAAACTAAAGCCAAAGCAACACAGTGTCAAGACACGGGCTTGGGGCTGGGCTGGGGCTTCCTAGTACTCACAAGGCACTGGGTTCGATCCCCAACACCGTGAGAGAAAATTACAAGCCGGGCATGGTGGCACATGCCTGTAATCCCAGCATTTGGGAAGCTGAGGCAGGAGGATTGCTGTTTGAGGCCAGCCTGGGCTGCATAGTGAGATCCTGTCTCCAGAACAAAAAGAAAAAAATAGAAAACACTCAGCCATTGACAGCGCGGGCACGTGGCAGGTGCTCAGTCGCTGGCCCTGCTTTCCTCCTCTTGATCTGACTCAAAAATCCGACCAAGTTGGGCTGGGGATTTAGCTCAGTGGTTCCACTGCCTGCCTCGAAAGCGGAAGGACCCGAGTTTGAGCCCTGGTACCAAAACAACAACAACAACAACAAAAATCCGACCAAGTGACCTGAACACCCCTTCCAGCCCCACCCCTCGAGTTCATCACTCCTCCAAACCGGTCAGCACATCCCGAAGCCGCCTGCACCTGCAGTTTTCCCTAAAACACCTTCCCTTTCCTCCTTCCTTGCCTGAAAACTCCTACTCACCCTTCAGAGTCCCATCCCACGTCAGCTCCTGCACTTCAACCCGCCCAGGACGTGTCCATGTGTCAGCTGCGTCCTGACAGCCAACACAGAGTCCCATGTCCTGGGAACTGTCCCGAGCATATGCACCCACCATCAGGCCACACAGCGGAGCCCTCGAGGCAGGATTAGGATTCTCAGCCTCCAACTGGGAATTGCCGGCCTGGACAGGTCCCACAACTGGACACAAGGGGTGGCTCGCCCGGGGCCCCTAAGCTTCTGCACATGTGCAGAACCCAGGCACCCTCCTCAGCTGGGAGCTACAGGGGAGCCGCACCCGGGGGTGGCTGAGGGACAGAGGCTCACCTCACACGTACGAGGCCTTGAGTTTGGTCCTCAGAGCTCCAAAAACAAAAACAAAAACATTCATAAAAATGCCTTAAACCAGCATGGCAGCACTCTCCTGAGATCCCAGCACTTGGGAGGCTGAGGCAGGAGGATTCCTGCATGTTCAAGGACAGCCTGGGCTACAGAGTTCAGTCAGCCTGAACTACATAGTGAGACTCTGTCTTAAAAAAAAAAAAAATACTTGTCTTAATAATCATATATGAGGGCCGGGGATTTAGCTCAGTGGTTTCACCACCTGCTGCGCAAGCACAAGGACCCAAGTTCGATCCCCGGTACCAAAAAAGCAAAAACAAACAAACAAATACTCACATATGAAATAGCAAACACATTGCTTATCGTGTCCTGACCGTGCAGGAACTCACTTCATCTTACAATAGCCAGGGGTGGAGGATGTTAGCTCACAGAGGAAAGGCTGGGACTTGGGGGACCTCGTAAAAAGGAGGAAGTTGTGCTATGTCCATGGCCCAGCTCTCCACCATGAGTGGGATCATCACAGACTGCAGAATGAAAAGGCTCCATGGGAGGCCAGCGCCTTCCCAGGAACTCGGAGAGGGTAAATGTCAAAGCGGGGTTCCCACTCCAGTCTGCACGCCTGTTCTTCCTCAATGGGATCTCCAGGCCCACCCTCCCCCTGGGTCCCTGAGGAGCTAGAAAAGCTCCTATCGCCACCCACCAAGGGAAGAAACTCAGGGTACAGCCAGGGGTGGTGGTACACACCTGAAATCCAGCTGCTCGGTATGCTGAGGCAGGAGGATCACCTGGGAATCAACCACTCTGGGTAACTAAACAAGACTGTGACTCAGATTTGCAAAATCCGGGGCACAGTGCTCCCTGGGGTACATCCCCACTGCCATAAAAATGAGAGTTCAGACACCCAGCAAGTCTGCAAATGGCTTATAAACGTGTCCACAGACTGACAATTCTCCCGTGGAGAAGTGGTCTGCACCTGTTGCCCTAAGCACACATTTCTAGCAAACAGAATTCGTGGAAACAAGGCCTCCTGACGCTGCGGTTGGGGCATAAAAGACTTTCCCCTGGCTGGGGATGTAGCTCAGTGGTTTCGACTCCTGCTGCGCAAGCGCAAGGACCTGAGTTTGATCCCTGGTACCAAAAAAAAAAGACGTTCCCCTGGGAGCCCAGCCATAGCGGGAGGAAGCCCAAGCACTGCTGGAGGCCCCTAAGGCCCGGGGGCAGCTGGGGGGGTCACCTGCACACTCGCCAGCCTCCACCGGCTTCCAGGCCACCCTGAAGCTGGCCAAGGAGAGCAGACCTCAGCCCACCCAGACCACAAATGCATGAGCCAAATAAAGCGTCGTTATTTTGTGCCACTGTGTGAGCCACTTTTCCATAAAACAACCACCCCCGGCACTTCAGAGAGGAGAGCTCGGATCTGGATCACGGCTCCAGGGGCCAGGCCATGGCGGCTGCTCCGAGGCAGAAACATGGCAGCAGAAGGGGTAGCGGAGGACTCTGCTCAGCTCATGGGGCCAGGAAGCAGAGCAGGGAAGAGCCAGAGAGGGTGGGGCCAGGGACCGGATACAGACTCACGTCCACACCCGGAAGTGTACTTCTGCGCCCCCAAGCGGCTTCCAGGCCAATCAAATTGACACAGGAAGCCTGGGGAGGGTGGCTGCTCACACAGCAGGAGTTGACAGGAATTCTCCATCTTCAGGTCAGAGACTTGGGAGCGTTAGGGTACACCTGGGACAGAAACCGATCA